GTCTTATTCTCCTCTTTGTACTTATTTTCCCCTTGTCTTAATAAAACTTCTTTTTCTATCCCTGAAAAAAAAAAACAAATGAAAAACAAGTAATGTTTTGAGCTTATCTCAAGTAAATTCAAATACTAAGGCTATTTTTTATAATAAATTCATAAATTTTATTGGAATTCATTCTTTAATTGCACGCTAAGTTAAACTAGGAGGGCATTCCATTAGAAAATGATAACAAAATTTTTAACTTTATACAGAATTTCACATAACACTATATTTTAAACTCCACCAATTTTAATAAAATCTACAATACATCATGTCAATAGCACACGCAATACCATGTGATGTTAATTTTTATCATTTTTACGAGTATTTGCATTGTCTTGTAGTTTAACTAATTGTATATTGCAAATAAATTTCACAAAATTTCTAATTATGATCCGTATACAGCCTAAAAAAGAGATCTAAACATCAGAGAATTGCTCCAGTTTGCAATCGTTTTGAATTGCTATAATTGAAAAAAAATCTTTACAAACTAAAGTTCTATCACTTTAACTACCCTACTTTCCTCTCCTTTTCTTAGCAAACAAACGGGAAAATAAAATAAAACCAATACCAAATCTTTAACTGGTATAGTACCTTAAAACTATAGAGACTCCTCATGCTCTTTCAATTTTTCTTTCTTTTCCAGCTCCTGTTCATATTGTCGCAGTCTCTCTTTCATCTTCTCCTGGATAAATTAAAACCACAAAAAGAAAATCCAAAGTTTCTCATCTCATCTTGCGATGAAACGCAACTTGAAATAAACACAGGAGCAGAAGCCAGTCACTCAAACTTTAAAAAAAAACGATTAAACACTGATTCATTATTTATGTATTGCAAATTTCCCTTCATTCTACTTCGCTTTCTCATAAACTACCAATGAATAGAAAGAGAAGAGAAGATAACCTTGTAACTGATTTCGACACGGTACATCACATAGAAGCCGAGAATACCGCCGACTATCGTGCCGGTAATGATCCGAACATAACCCCATCTCTGTGAAATCAACGCCATTTTCTCCCACTGCTGCTTTTCTATTTCTCTTGGGTTTCCCCTGGGAATCAAACGCGGCGCTCGCACCTCTGCGTGCAAAAACGCTCCCGTTTTAAGCCGGCCAGACTGTTTTTTCTTTAGACCTGTCTGGTTCAATAATAATAGGATGATTTTTTTATATTTATTTATATTTGTAATCATATGGTATAATTTTTTTTGTGATTAAATCATAGTTCTTAAAATTATTTTTTTTTTATTTTTTTAAATTAATAGTTTGATAAATTTTTTTTATATTCTTAATATTTTTTATTATTTATAATATTACATTTTTTTTATTTTTTCTATCTAACACTTCTTATATTCTTCTTCTTCTTTTCAAAATATTATATATATATATATATATATATATATTTTTTATATATAAGTATGAATTTATATATTTAATTAAATTTATATATTTATATTTTTAATTATATATAGGTATATATAATATATCTAATTATTTCAATTATATATATATATTATATTTATATATTTAATTATATATTTTTTATTACATATATACATAAATTTATATTACATATATGTATTTATATATTTAATTATTCATAAATACATGTATATAATATTTTAATTATATATATGTATATATTTAATTATATATATTTATATATCTCTATATTTAATATTATTTTTTTATTTTTTTTGTTTTTTATTTATTATTATATATAATAAAATAAAAATTTACTCAAATATATAACTACATTGTCTTATAAATCCAAATAAAAACAACTCTCACTATCAGATATTAATAGATCATCATTTAAATTAATTAAATTTAAACATTAATGAATCTTATACATACTCAACCGTACCTAAAATTAACGAACCCTCAAGTTGTAATACCCAAACTCAAAATTTGGTATGTGATTAATTTATTATCAAAAATATATAAAAATCTAATATTAGAATTAATAAAATTTAATTTAATGTGAAATTATGAAAAAAAATAAGTTGAGAATGAAATTAAAAATAATTTTAGGAAAAAGATGTGAAAAATTTGATTCAAATGGTGTTTTTGAAAGAAAAATCAGAAACTAGATGTCAGAATGCAATTAAGAAAAATTTTGCCACGTAGGACCCCCCATCAGTAGTCTCGATAAATTGGAGCACGCCACGTGGCAAGGCACACTGACTCGGTGCCACACAGGAAACCATGCTAGCGATCCGCGTGCCCCGCGATCGAACGACCCGAAAGCGCGTGGACTGTTCGGATCCATTCCTCCTCAAACGCGATTGGACGGTTGTGATTAAATGCGATGAATGGTTCATATCCGTTCTCTCTTTAAACGCGATCAGACGGCCGAGATCAAATACGATAAACGGTCAAAATTAACGCGAGACGAGTATAAATATTTTACATCATAGTAAACCCAAACCCTAGCCATCAGTCTTCCGCTGGAGAAGAAGAACCAGTTGCTAGAGAAGAGAGCTGACCGCCGCTCACCGCCGCGCCGAAGCAACCTCTGATCGCCAAAAAATGTAAAAATTCTCTTATCCAATCGAAATTTGATTCCGAGCACCTCCATGGCCAAATTGGAGCAAAATATGGTGGGTGAGTCAAAATCGCAGGTAAATACCGGCGGCGCCACCGCGAGCAAAACCTGCAACCTCCTCCGATGAACCCCTTTCATATTTCTTAATTCGTACGATATTTTTACTATTGTATTCACCGTTATGTTTTTTATAGGTTGACCGAAGAAAAATCGCAAAGGTGAGTCGATGGAGCTGCCACACTAGAAAATCTCACCACTGATAGGTTTCCGTTTTTTGACTTTTTTCTGCCAACAGATGCCCCCTAACATATTTTCTTGTAGGGATGGTTATAAAACTGATCAAAATTAGCCAAAACTAGTCAAAAATGGTCAGGTTGAGGCAAGCTGTCATTGCGGGCGGCAGTGTCCTCGCTGGAGCACGGTGGTGCCGCCGTGCCGGAACCCCGAAATTGATCGAAAAAGAGTTTTTAACACCGATTTTGAGTTTTTAAGTTATTTTTAGGTACGTGAAGTGTGTTTTTATCTCTGTAGGAAAATTCAAGAAATCTGATGACCGCCATTAGGCACGGTAGAAAGTTTGGTATTTCAGAAAACGATTCAGGTAAGAATCTCTCATCTTCTTTTCTGTTATGGAATTGAAGTTTAATAATCGATAATATAGTATTTTGTGTAATTTAAAAAACTCTGAGAATAATTACAGGTTACTAATTGAGTCAGAACCGATTAGTTATCTATTTGTTTGTCTTGTTTAACTGATTATTGAATTTACAGCTTTAAATACATGATGATATACTGGAATGGTTAAATGATTCAGTTATACTTCCTTAATATATATATATATATATATATTGTTTGTCTTGTGTGATTCACGGTTGATTTGTGAAATTAAAAATTTACATACAAACAAAAAATTATTTGGTCATGTGAATTAATGAATGGTAGTCTTACTGGATATTCTAGGAGATGGTGGACAGATCGGGTACATAAGGAACCTTACCGTGAAGGTTGCCTCATACCGGATGGGGTATTGAGAAATGATATTTTTGGTGTTTATACCAGAGAGGGTATGGGGATGGCCCGATTCACCCTCATACCGAATGGGGGTATTGAGGGATGATATTTTTTGCGCTCATACAGGACAGAGTATGCAGACGGCCGGTTAGTTTACAATGTTGGATATTGGTTCGTGCGTAGTGGGACATCCCTATAAGCTCCCATGGATACCAGTATGTAAATAAAAAGAAAAAATTATTATTCTTACTCACTTGAATATGATATAAGAATGCTATTTAAGTTATTGTCTTTATAAATCGATTTTGAAAATCTTGTAATGGTAAATATGTGCAATAAATGATTTTCCTTATGATAAATGAATTTACTTAAACCAAAAGCTCAATTGGTTGTTTTTATGATTTTTATCAACTTTTAATTTCTGTATCGATGCGTAGTGTGATATTTTTATTAGGCTAGTATAGCTCACTCTTTCGTTATCTTTTTCAGATCAAGAGAACCAAGACCCAAATTCTGATCAACAAGGGGGTTGTGAATAGTTTACCGCTCGGACTCCCTTCAAAAGCTAGGGAAGATCGTCTTAGAATGCTCAGTATATTGCCTTTTGTTTACTTTTTTTATTTTCATTTGTTATTTTAGAATTAACATTCTCGTAACCCTATTGGCATTCCAAATTATTGTGTAAGAAATGTAAACCCTAAACTCTATTATTTCGCTTCCATATTTAATTTATGATTTTACTTCCATTTAAGTTCCAGGCCTTTATAATGTAAGTCATCTAATTATACTCTTATTACAGTAAATTTCTAATTTAATCTGTAATATATGTAACACCCCTTTTTTTTCTAGCGGCGTAGTCTCAAACAGTTCAATGGGTCGACTACTAGAATCTCATTCCAAATCAGTTGCACACACAAAAAGGAAACTACCACAACCTATTACTCAATGTCAAATAGAAACCTTCAACCATAAATGCATCATTACAATAGGACACAAATTCATATATCCTCAATGGACATACAATCTACATTACTACCAACTATTTAAGCTCCCAATTCTACCGGTAGAAATCTCTGCTCTGTTTTCTCTATATGCTAGGTTCGGAAACTAGGAACTCTGATCCCGACTCCATCCTTACTTCATCTATAAATAATAAAGAGTGAGTACATATAACTCAGTACAATAAAAATTAAGTCACAAGTATAACATACAAACCAAATTAAAACTCCATTTTTATATGTTTTCCTTTTCCGTTACCTAAGTCATACTTTCTTACTACCCTTTAACTCTACAGTATTACTACGTATCCCCAGTATTTAATTGTTACTCATACTAGGTGTGATCGTCCTACGATATCACCCCTTTGGCCCCGATTAGGCCACTTATCTACACAGTTATTCTCATCCGTCACCAGTATCGGCGACCATCATTTACCCTTCTATCACTCGATCCCTAGTTGGCCACTCACACACACTAGTACTGTTTTCTTCCGTCACCAATATCGGCGACTCAACACCTTACCCATCGGAGACCCCCAATATCACCACTATCGGTGATTGACTTACTCTTTATAGATAACGACAACTAA